TTATTGCCTGTCAGTAAGAGTTAGTACTGAAATTGTTATTTCCTGCAATAGTAGTAATAATAATAATAATAAATAGTTATAAGTCCCACTTCAGTACTACTGAAACAAATGAAGCATAGGAGCATGTTACACTCAAATTCAAGAAACAAATACTTTAATGGTGATTTCGCAGGATATCGCATCCACTAAGGTAAATAAATTTAAATCAAACATATGATTTCCATAAAAAGAAAAAAAGTTCCAGGTGCAACTCTGCGGAGGTGTTGAAGATTTTCAGTTTTGCACAAGTTGTGAACAGATGTATTTCCAGCTGTAGGTTTGGATCTCTAAAAGACATTCCCTTCTAGCAGATAGCAGCTTTCTTTTCTCTTTATCAAGCTGTTTATTGAGTCTGGTTTTAATGAATTTAGTTAGAACTGGTTTATGCATTAGTGAGGGGTATAATTCTGACTTTGCTGGTGATGTACATCACCATACGATTTGGCTTATTGGATACCATTTCACATCTGCAGCTCCCAGACTCTGGTGAGAAACAGTTTCACCTGGGAGTTATGCATGAGCAAATCTGTAGATATTCAGTGGTCCAGTTCTGCTAAAAATACACAAAAATTGAAATTTCACCTCTGCATAAGGACATGAGATTTATGGGATTGTCTGGCTGGTCTGTCAGACTATATTTCTCTAATCATGGGGTTGAGCCCAACAGCTAATTTCAGCCAAAAATCTAAAACACACCTAATCTCCTACAGCATCTGTGGATCTTTTTGGTCAAGAGGAGAGATCCAAGTTGGTGTCCCAGTGAGAAAACAGCACGAGGTTGCAGCTGCCAGAGGCTCCATGGGATTGGAAGGAGGCAACTGCGCAGCACCCTCAGCTCACCAGGCTGCTCCTTGCTGGTCAAAGCTATGAGGAAAATATGACAAGGGCTCAGTTTGCTGGCCTGAGGATTTATTTTCAGCTGAGTTTTTATGTCCTAGAAGCCATGTTTGCACCTGACAAGTCCCATGTGATTTTTTTTTCTTCTTCAGCATCAGATTTCATCAATCTGTTCTTTAATTCTCTTTGTTGGAAAATTGAGCAGAAGTACTTCAGAGGGATATTGTGAGATTTAATTAACTTTTACAAACAGAGAAAATAGAAAATAGGTAATAAAGACTAGAAATGGAAGTTCAATAATAAAGCAGAGTATTGATTTAGAGACATCTATCATTCCAAATTTCAACATCGGAGCATCAAGGCTACTTTAAAATGCAACAAACAAAGGCAACTCTTTGATTTCTTTAAAGCCAAATGTGTTGTTTCATGTGAAAGGGGAAAAAGAAAAAAAAAAAAAAAAAAAAAAAAGGAGGGAGGGAGGGAGGGAGGGAGGGAGATAAAATGACCTCCCCCAGACTCTGGACTCCTGAAACCCAGTCTGCATTCTTACTGATTTTTCAGAGTGCCCTTCTACAAAGGAGTGTCTTTGCTCTGTAGATCTGTTTTTCTACCTTTGCTGCAGAAGCATAGGGTTGAGTGATAAAGCTGTGGTATAATGGCTCTTTCCCCATCTCTAAAAGGTTCTATATTTCAGGCCATAGAAGAACTTTCTTTCAGAAAAATCACCTTCCCAGAATGATATGCATTTCAAAAGAAAAGCACAAGAAGTCCCTGTGTGACATTATTGGTATGCTTCTACATTCAGTGTGCCAACAGGACATTTTCTGTTTTTTCTTTGTGTTGTATTAATGTTCTGCTGATGAAGGTGCAACAGGAAAGGCTGTACTTCAGAGGATTTGAGTTTAGTACTGTGTGGGACAAGAACACAGTAAAGCAAATAGTATTTCCAAGCAGAACCATTGAAGACTATGGTCACTTTTAGAAAGCCTATATTTCTCCATATATCAGGTAATTGGGCACCACACCATGTACGTTGTCTTCTGGACACAGGCAGTGTGGATTGAGTTTAGAATTTAGCACTCTACTTTTGCCTACAACAGTAGGCAAACAGTAACAGGATTAAAAACAGATTACAATAACAGCAATAGAATTGAAAAGGATGTTGCAGAGAGTTTTATGTATACATTCTATTTGCATTATTTTTTTGTGTGTTCCAGTGCTATGTGAAAAATTTGAAATTGAGTTGCAAGTTCCTAAGTGTGAGTCCTATTTTGCTTTTGCTCTACTTGAGGCAAAGTGCTGAGTTTTAAAGAAGTGAGGAGGGTAATGGATGAAATTTAAAGCCATTGTTTTGTTCACTGATTTATTTCTTCTGCTGTGATGCTTTTTGATGCTGATTTAATTAACTTAGTTTGTAGCTCCCCTTATTCTTCCTTAATTAATTAATTAATTCTTCACTTCTGGTTAAGCAGTGACACTTCTTATTGAAAGGTAAGGATGAGCAAATAATTTATATTTAGAAATGCTTTTTGCCAAACATCTCTGGGCAGATTGTGAAATTTTTAACCTTATTTATGTATTTTCTACATGTATCTTCCTGCAGAATCAGCTTTCTCTAAGTGGCAGATGCTTTTGTCACACATAAAGGGGGATTTCTCTCCCTGATGTTTCAGGTCAGGGGATTCAGCAGCACTTCAGTTAAAATTGTCAAAAAGGACAAAAATCATTGAGGAAAAAGTCACTAAGGCAGCAAACCTATCATCTGACAACCTATTCATAGTTTAAAAAAAATTAAATTTTCAAACACCAATTTCAGCCTGGTGACATCAAGACAACAGTTTCCAAAATCACTGGAAAGGGACTGACCCACTCAGAGAGGCAACCAAATCACCAGGTGCTGTCCTGAGAGAGGACTCTGGGGAGGGACCAGGCTGCTGTACCTCAATGCAGTCAGCAGATGCTCACACTGGGACTTTGCTGCTTATCACATTTGCTTTGCAGCCCGGTGTCCTTGGCCAGGGCAGTCCATTAAGATGTCTGTAATATGCACTGTCTTGCTGTGCATAAAATCTTTCTCTACATAAGATTTTAAAGAGGAAAGCTCTAAGTGGAAAATGGTGAGCACTAATTTAGAGCATCTGTACCCTGGCAGGACCCAGCTGGCCTCAAGGGAAGCATGGTGGGGCACATGTGGGGCACCAGGGGGGTCTCAGCCCAGGGAGCAGGGCAGAGCCCACGCCACTGCCACACACCCTCATTGGTGCTCTTGCCACCAAATGGTGCCTGGGTGCTGGCCCAGGCTGTATGAGGACAGCAGTGCCCAGGTGGGGACACTCTGTGGGGCTGCAAGCCCGACTTCTGCTCCTGAAACAGAGGTTTGCAAAAGGATATGTAGCCCCTTAATGCAGCAGCTACAGGTTTAGAGGCCATGACTGGAGAATGAGATGTCTTCTGTGGTGACATCACCTTCTCTTTAAGTCTGGAGTGCCTCTAGTGTGCGTGTGGTGAGAAGAGTGGCTTGTGTGGTTCCAGGTCCACACCCAGTTGCCACCACAGCAGCAAGCAGGGCATGGGGCTTCAGCAAAGCACAACGGGCTGCACAACGGAGCCTTTGCCTGTTGAGAGGTTAACATGAAGGGTGGAGGGTTGATACGATGATTGGTATGAATGATGTGCTATTCTTCTGACAGCCAGTTCTCACTGCTGTGCAGTGCAAATGCAGGAGGCACTTTCTTAGGCTACCTAACCAAGCTTAATGGAAATGTCCCACGTAGTGTCCAGCAATGCCCACCTATCCAACACAAATTCCCACCTGGGATCATCCCTGATGGACAGCACAAGAAACAGTCTATCTTCACATAGGTTAAGAATTTTGTGAGCGTAGGAGGTGTGATTTTTACTTGTGGGATGAGATTCCCTCTGTTTTGAATTTATCTACAAGGTAGTTTGAATGAGCTAGTAAAGTTGCTATTGGCCTAAGTTAAGCATCAAAATAGCAAGAAACCAAAGTGTGTCACCTGTGCTATTTCAGATTTTCAGATCAGCTGGTTTGGACCTATTTCTGTGCATCAATTTTTGAAGTACAGAAATAGACAGGGGTTTTGTTATTTATGTTCCTTTCTCGGGTGCTGAGAGTACTCAGCTCAGTACTCTGAGCAGCTCCACAACACATGCCTGCAATGACAGAGTCTGACAGATCTCAGGCTTTGCTACCTAAAATAGTTTCTTAATATGTATTCTAGGTGCTTTCATCTGAAAAGCATACTGGCATTGTGAAAAGAACAAAGAAAATGTCAATATTTTTCAATAAAGTAGCGATTGACTGAAAAATTTAAATGTGACTTTAGGATCAAGATTTGGTAATGTGGGGACTGGAATCCTCCTCAGTGTCTGAATATTCTGTTAAATGGCTTTGGTATGAAATCTTCAGCATTAGTTTTGTTTAGCTTGAACTCAGCTCACCTCTGAAATTATGATTTCCCTTACTCTTGATTCATCTCAAACACAAAAAGTATTTTTCTCTCTGCTATCACACAATATAGTTATCTCTACACATAAAAATAATTAGTTACTATTTTTATTTGGCATTTTTCTTTGTTATGATTGTTTGGGTGGTGGTTTATTGGAAGTTTTGAACATTGTATATACAGATCACTTCCAGAAAGTGCTATGCAATGATACGTCATAAATGCTGCTAGCTTCAGCAAAACAGAATAACTTAATTTGACCAAGATTAATCCAACTTGCTCTGGGACTGGTACATTCTGTTTCATCTTAAATGAAGTAAAGTAATTAATTCTGTGTAGTTTTCATTTTCACATTAACATTCTCTTCTGTGAAGTGTAATTGCTTTCTTGTTGTTTGCAATACTGTAATCATTTTAGTTAGGGCATCTCTCTATAGGGAAAGACCCAGGGCCTTCCTACAGAACTTGCTACACAGATCAGACAGTCAGAAATAGAGGACACTTACCTAAGTGTCCTAAGGTCATTTACCTAAGGTCATACAAGCCATCAGCAGAGTGAGAATCAGAATCCAGACTGCCAGAACCTTATTCCAGTACTGTATCCAGTGACCATGCTGCTTCTTAATATGTCTCTGTTCTTATTGTCCTTTCTTTATAGTTCGGGATCGGGTACGATCTAAAATGGAGAGAGATATTTTGGCAGAAGTGAACCATCCTTTCATAGTCAAGCTTCATTATGGTAACTATAATAAAATATAATTCATGTTTGTTCTTAATTTGGGTGGGGAATTGTTACTAGGCGTGTTACACTTTGGTACAGATGCCCCCTGCCTAATTATGACTCTGTTGCTAACAAAGTCATAGAGGCTACCTGTGTGAAATTCTTCATTTATGTTGAAGGAGACATCCAGTATTTTTAAGTTTCAGCCATTCCTCCATTGAAATAAATTTGTCATAAAGTCTGACATGCTAGGTAGTGCTGGTGGGGTGGCTCCTGAGTTTACATCTGCCAAACTCTCACTTGCTGTCAGGTATCATTTAGAAAGACAGAGCATTTAAATTAAAACAGGTTATAATAATCAGTACCAGTCTAAATCTTTATAGGTGTGTACATAAATGTGGTGTCTTGGTGGAGTTGTCTCCTGCCACAGCAGGTATTCTGAGGGCATTCGGGTATGTGGGCTCCTCTTTCACACAAACATGGAAACTTCTCTCTATGCCTTGCTCTCAGTGACTCCTGATGCCTTGTGGAGTGGGAAACACTGTTAATTCATAGGTGCTTAACATGGAAATGAATATATTAGTAATGCACCATTGTCTCTCAACTACACTATTTTTTCTCACAGCCAAAGCTCAATTGCTAAGTTCTATACAGAAATAGTTTTTTTCGGCTCTCAAAGTTCTGAAGTAACACTGAAGCAGTGGCAGGAATGATGCTAGTCAACAGGACTTACTCTTTGGGGACTTTTTCTTGATTCAAACTTCCAACATATTCATCCTTTTCTAATGCAGCATTTCAAACAGAGGGAAAGTTGTACCTAATACTAGATTTCCTGCGGGGAGGGGACCTTTTCACCAGACTCTCCAAAGAGGTAAGCTGATAGTTCTTTAACTCAGAAACGAAAGACTGTCTTGGATTTTCCATTCCCACACACTCAAATTGAGTGTGTGGGAATGAAAAATGGCCTTGGAAATAGTGATATATATATGTGTAAAAGAGCTATCTCATCTTGCATGGTTAAATGGGTTCTTAATAATTGCATTTGAATTATGCCAGAGGTAATGCAGCAGATATCATGTAGGCATCACTGCCAGAGAAAACTGCTCCACTGCTAAGCCATTCCTGTAGCAAAATACCCCCAGACTCAATGCTTTCAGAATAAGTTTTGATGTGATAAGAAACAGTCTGAGAAATCAATCCCCAGTACGTATTGCCCTAGGGATGAGCCCAGAACCACTGGAAGAACACGCACACACTGCCAGGGAGGAGGGAAGGATGGCCATGGGTCAGGGCCAGCCTGTGCAGCTGCTGAGAGCAGGTTAAGGGCCATGCACCAGCCCAGACATGGGAGATTGACTATCACAGGCCTCATGTGTCCTCCTCCTGCCTGCCAGGAGCAGCTGCTGCTTCCATTCCCTCCCCAGGCTCTCATCCCTCCCCTGTCCTCTGCATGCCATGGCCCTGCAGAGGGGCTGCTGCAGGCAGGGAACGTCCCTAACCCGAGTCTTGCTGGTGCCCACACAGAGCAGCCTCAGCAGGTTTCCTAGGTTTGTTTTGCTCTTTCCTTTATCTCCAAACCTCTGTGAGGCAGCAGTCCCAGAGAGGTCCCTGCAGGAGTGCAGGAAGCTCCAGTGAGGCAGGACAGCTGTCCTGCAGTTGTCTGTGCCTGTGTTCCCAGCCCTTCGTACTTCTAAGGGTGTGGGGACAGGAATGCAGGCAACCACTCATCAGAGTCTTTAAAGACAGGAACCTTTCAAATGCCATCTTGAGGGGAAGCTCTGTTGCTCTTCTTGGGTTTGGGGAGTTACTGATGGACTAAAAAAAGCTGTGAAAACAGTATTTTCAGTCAAAAGCTCCCCAGCTCTCCCCCACCCCTGTTCAATTTCTGATTCAGTGACATGCTGCCGGATGCTGCGTGCTGTGCAACTTGGGACCCCAAGCTTTTGCTTTTAGGGTTTGTTTACTAATGCAAGAAGACATTGGTAACAAGTTAATTACACTGCTGAGTAATGATCCTTATATAAATATTCAGTCCCCGGTAGCAGTTATTTTTAATAGGAGAAAAAAGATTTTAAACATTTTAATTTAAAATGTCCTTCTGCTATTGTCATGAGACCAAGCTTTATTAACAAGGCAACTCTGCTGTCTCAGAAAGGGCCCCTCTGGTTTCATGGAAGACAGAAAATGTGGTTCTTGCCTAAGAGGGCAGGTCTGTGTTCTGCACAGCCAGGGAACTCAAAAGTGGAAGATACCAGCTCAGACTTTGTACTTCTTTAAAGCTTCATGTTTTCCCCAGAGCTTGTCCAGGGCAATTCACCAACTTCTGTGCTGTATACCGTCATTAATGACTCATTAAGCTGACACTAAAAATGTACTTCTCTTTTTTCAATGCTTGCAGCTCACCTTGCCTGCCCATACTTTGCAGCTGTTTAGGGGCAAGATATTGCAAGGGAAGAAATTCTGGGAAAGCTTGAACAGTTTGCAATTTGTAGGTATAGATTTGGTTGAAAGGTATTGATTTCAGTGAACTTCAAGTCAGATCCCATGTACATACATTGCGTGCATGCATGCAGAGCTTGCCTATTTCTTGCTCTGCCTTTTTGAGACATCTGACTTTAACTAGGTGTATATGTATAGATTAGATTTTTCCTAGATTCTATTGATTTAATTTATTGCCTATACTGTTTATTTTAAATCTTATAAATAATTTCAATTTCTTTTAAAATTAATTCCATTTTTACATTCAATAACAATTAAATTTGAGAACTTTTGCTTGTGTATTTATCTATTATTTTCCTTGTGATTTTATCTCTAAAAATTTTTCTTTGCAGTAATATTCTTAATTAAATTATGTCATGTCTGTACTCTGAATCATCTCTTTTTTCTCTCAGCTGTCTGGAACTTCTCAAAGCACTCAGATATTTTGGCTACCCATTTTTGAGAGCATAGACTTAATTTTAAAATTAAGCTCTACATCTTCTGCTGTAGAATTTACATTTACATATGACAAGTAAATTTGTATTCAGTTGACTCATTTTACTTCTGTCATGCATAATCACACTTGTGTATCCAATATATCAGCTTCTTTTTCTGCATTATTATCTCTGCGCATATTGAAATTTAATTAAAGAGAACGTCTCAGATATAATGGAAGTTGAACCATAGGGGTTTCCTGCCATCTGAGTTTTTCAGAGCTTATTGTTTTTTTTATTACAGAAGTTTCTTCTCGCCTAAAACACAGCTTTCAGTGTTAGTAGTGTCCATATCAGCTGCAGAAAACACTGTCTTCAGTTGGCACCTCATCAGGCCTTGGATGTTAGACAGCACATCACTGCTTAGAGCATCTGCTCTGATATTCCTTGGACCTCCAAGGCATGAGGTTTTAAATCCACCTCTGATTCTCTTCATGATGTGTATTCTGCTCAGACTTGGAAGTATTCTACCTCCCCAAAAAGGTTTCCCATGCTATTTCATGGGAATTTGATTAACCAAATGCCAAGATTGTATCAAGTTAAGGGATATGAAAGCAATATGGGCTGCATTGAATGTGTTTAATTCTGCTATTCATTTCCAAAGGCTAAGGAGTTATAATTTATTCCTAATATTGTGACATAATGTCATCTAAACAGATCAAACAGATGAATGAGAGCAGCATATTTTAAGGAGTAGAGGTGCTCAACAGATCAAGTTTTGTTTTATAGCGAGAATCTGGTAAGAGTTGTTAATGTCAGTTCAGACAAGTTATGGAAAATTGAACGTGATATGATGGTCCTTCCAGCATTCCCAGGTTAGACAATTCCTTCCCTGTGTCTGTTTAATGCAAGCCAGCCCACCACTGTCCAATAAATAGATGTGGTCTTCTCTTCCTTCTCCCTAGGTGATGTTTACAGAAGAGGATGTCAAGTTCTACTTAGCTGAGCTGGCCTTGGCATTAGACCACCTCCATGGTCTTGGGATTATTTACAGGGATCTAAAACCAGAAAAGTAAGTTAACAGGGAAAAGAGAACTAAAACATAAATACATGAACTTTTAGGTTTCTTCTGCTCCCTGTCACACTACTAAATGTGAAGGTGCCAGGGGCTCTGCCTTCTTTCTTGTGAGACTCTACATGAGACCATCACTAACAGCAGAAGGGTTTTCCTATCATACCATCGTAGCATGAGGCCAAATGTTTTGACTGTGCTCCAGTATGATGGGACCTCTGTGTGCCTGGCCTTCAGTTTTGTGAATTATTTCAGTAAAAAATTCAGATCCCTGTGCCTTTAAACTTCAGTGGCACCATTCTCTGTTTGCAGCATTTAATCTGGCCTTCGCCCGATGCAGTGGAAACCACTCAGAGCAACTCCACTTCCAGCTCATACTGAATATGGCATGGCACCGTTCAGTTTTACTGGAGCCATTTCTTAAAGTAAATGAGCATGTCTGAGAACTTGTGTGCCTGTTAACTTATGAGACACATGATAATCAGGTCTTTTAAAACACTTGTATTAACTGTGTAACATATTTTCCAAAGTATTTGTTCTCATATGTGCAGCTATTTTTTGTTCGTAATGTAGTCCTAATTTTCCTTTCTCTTTTTTATTTGCAATACATCAGCAGAGCAAATGACACCCTCAATGCTATCACCAGGAGTGACATATACTGTTTTTATTCTATGCCCTTTGCTTGGTGCTGTGCTGGATTCTGCTGTGACAACTCAAATAAGGCTGCAACATTCCAAAGTTCCTTTTTAATGTAATGGTCACCAGCATTTATAAAAGATAACCACTGAGGGCAGTCTTTTTGACAATTGCTTACACTTTCAAAGCATAATTTTCCTTCTGTGGCATCAAACTGAAAAATATGCAGGTCTTTCTTTAAAATGAAGTGTTATCGCTTTCACTCTCACGGACAGAATATGAGACCAAAAGTGATGGAAGATGTACTTTGTAGGTGAGAAGCTGAAGGAGAGGAAACTGTTTATCTCCATTGCATTTCTAGGTGATTTAAATTTTAAATTCAGTTTTATGTTTTGGTTATAGCAGTAGTAGTACTATTTGAATTCAACAGATGTACATAGCAAGAGCTCTCAGTCTTTTGGGCTAGCAGACATTTTGTAGTTGACCAAATTTTCTAACCTTGCCCATTTATGCAACCAAAACTGGAAACCAGAGTCTTTGTCAAATATGGGAAATCATCCTACAATTAAAAACTGGAGGGAGAAAAGTACCAGTCTGTTCCTGATATGAAATGCAGGTAGGCAGTGGCGACACCCCAGCTGCCACAGCCACAGGCTCTTGCATCATCTGCCATCAGCTCCTTGGTTTCAATTTCATTCTGAATTGCTGTTTTATCCATTCAGCATCAACAAATATGTACACAATAGAATAACTCAAATTCTAGGTTTTCTGTTTTAAACTTTGATTCCAGTGAGCATTCGTGTGGCTCATGCATGACTTTTCTCTTTGATATATTAGATGAGGCTGAGTTTTGAGATAACACATGAGATACGAATCTGCTGTAAGAAAGCATCCAAATATGAGCTTGTATATTCAGCTATGTCACAATGCCATTACATTTTTAGGCATATGCTGTAATTTTTTGCTTTAGAAGAAGTTAGAAACCAAGGAGAAAATTTGGTGTATGTCAAAACTGTTAATTGTATTTGAGATACTGAGACCTGGATTCTTCTGAGTTCTCAAAAGGAAATGTGACTTAGCATCTCAAAAAACATCTCTCAATGACTCCAGTTGCAAGTGAGAGCACTTTATATTACTACAGACCAAGCTGAAGTGCTTCCAATCAGGGATCAGTGAATCGAGAAATTGGAGCTCATGTAAGGAAGGAAGGTGTCACTGATTTGTCATTGTCACATAGAAGCATGTTGAAAAGATACAGATGGAATCCAGTTTTTTCTATATTTTTGTCTGAGCTGAGAGCAGCCATCCCCTTCACTGTACTGTTCTGCTAAAATCCCTCCCTGAATGTTACCAGTCTGCCAACTGAGACAAGATTTCTCTAGAAGAAAAGATAAAGTATCATCACGTAACTAAAGACCTATACAGAGAGATCACTGTGTAAAGTTAAGGTGGCAGACCTCACTCTTGCATTTTCTAGCTTTTGTATATATGGTTTATGGTCTTTGATACATAGTTAAATGGATTAACTGTAATACAGTTTAATTTGGATGCAATTGATGTAGTATAAAATTAGCTTACATGAATATAACTGTTGTATAGGAAGGACCCAGAAGTCCATACCTGGAGATAAAGCAAGCCTTCTGACTGAAAACTATATCCTCTAAAAATAGCTCTGTAAGTGCAAAGCCTGTGTGTAGTCACACCTAGGAGAGCAGAGCATGACAGCCTATGATTTCTCTGGAACTTTAGGTTTGCATTAAAGAAATACAGCAGAATAAAATAACTACTCACAGGGGGGAAAAAAAATGCTACATTTTTGAGTTACATCTGGGAAAGAATATATTTCTAAATAAGATGATAAAAGAAAATTAGAACCATCTCAGGATGTTCTCATCCTCCTCTTGCCCCCTGGCAGGATCAAGACCCTAACAGGTGTGTTGCTAACCTAGGCTTAAAACAGCTGGTGAAGACTGTGCTCTACACAGGAGCACTCTTGGCAGTGCTCCAGCAGTTGCTCATCTGAAATGTTGCTCTTAATACCTAGTTAGAAATTTCTTTGCTGCCACTGCAGGCCAATGCTCCTTGGCCTGTCCTCCTAGAAGCACCAACCTGCTTGTTCTGCTCTCAGCAGCAGCCTCGGTGGGTTGTGAGAACATCCTTTTCCTTAGACCCTCTTCTGTGCCCTAAACAATCCAGGTACTGAACTCCACTAGTCAGTTTTCACAGGGCTCCAGTCATTCTCATTACTCCCCTTTGGTTTCCCTTGATTCCTCTCTCTTTTGAAGTGCAACGTGCAGAATCACACACACATCTGCAGCAGAGGCATTACCAGCATGATTGCAGCATGAGGTTTGCTCTGTCAGATTTGCAGAACTGGAGATATATTAATTAATTTATAATTTCCCAATTCTTCCTCTCTCCCCGTTATTAAAGATAGGCACTGCATTGGACCTTTCATTGTTCAATGCTTTTGTTGTTCTTCAGAAGCTCCCAAAAGTAGCTGCTGATAGGTTTGAGTTTGCTTATTCACTCTGTAAGTATGCTAAAAAATCTCATTGGAATTGTTTATGTTAAAAGAAAAAACAAAAAGGAAAACAACCACTTGAACTTGGAAGAACCCTGAGTACATTAAAATTTAAGGTTCGGCTTTTGTTTTTTTTAAGATTCCATGTTAACAATTCAAAGCTATGAGTTAATTTGAAGTGCAGCTGGGAGTTGTTCTCAAGTCAGCTGTACTTACTTCAAAAAGACAAGTAATTGAGCTTTCTGGTTAAAGTCTTGTTTAGAACATGGGGATACTTGTCTTGAATTGATACAGACAAATTCTTCTCCTTGAGTTGTCTTGATGATTTCAGTGGCATCACTTGTGGGACAAGATATTGTTCAGTCACACTGGAAGCCACTGAGTTACTTAAATGGTGAGGCATGTTTTTACTTAAGAACTGCACAATCAAGCTATAAAAATATGGTATATATGCCCTGGGATATATGGTAAATATACCAAAACAGAAAAATTGGAACTTATTATAAGGTAGTATATGATGCATATTTTGTTTCTTATCCTGTGGTTTAAGGGTATGGGTGACTTAGAAATAACTCTACCATCTGAAAATGGACAGACTTTTACCATTTCTCTTTTTAGAAACCTATGTGCACTTTGAGTTCTGAAACGGGCTTAGATTAACAAGGAGTGATGTACATTTTAAGGCCCTCAGTTGTCTACACAAGGGACAGCATAGACACTATATTCTAAAAAAGCCAAACACCATTTTTAATGCAGCATGTTGCCAACCATGACTACTGATTTATGAATGTAACTGCCCTGTGTAGAGAGGGGAAATCTGAGAATCAGTAAAAGACCCTTTTTACTGATTATGGTGGCAAGCTTGCATTGATGTAAGCAGTCATTTTTTGACTTCATGGTGTCAACAAAGCTACATCAGAGAGGAATTTGTGTTCAACAGAGTGAGATAACGTGGGGTCGTGAGATAGTATGGGGTCATGTGAACACTGAAATGTCACAAAACACAGTTTGTGAGAATCTTCATCTCTTTAGCAGGTATTTGACTACTTTATCTAGTACTTTCCTAACAAAATGAAATAAAACACTCTTGATAAAGTCTCAGATTTTATTTACCACCTGAAAATTTGGCTACAGTTTCTGATTAACATAAAGTGTGGGTTGGGTTTTCTGCAAAACAGCTCTCACTTAGAAAGAAACTCATATCATAAAAAAAAAAAAAAAAAAAA